ACCGACACTGTCATCCTGGGTGTGTCACTTGGTCTCTTTGAGCCTTAGTTTTCTCTTTACAGCATGGGTATAGTAACAGTACCTACCTTGATAGGAATTAGGAAGCCTGGAGACAAAATCATCCTTGCCAAATCAGGCCTTGGAGGGCAGGGTGGCACTGTGGCCCTGTGCTCCAGCTCAGCTATCATATTTAAATATTTAACAGAAATACATCAGGCTATTCCCTCTTCCCTAAGTTTTGGTGATTATATGATTCAAAAAGGAGTAAAAGGAAAGGACTAATTGCTCGGGAAAGAAACCAAACTGTACACTGGGCATGGTGGTGCACGCCTGTAATCCCAGCACTCGGGAGGCTGAGGCAAGAGTATCGCTGTGAGTTTGAGGCCAGCCTGGGCTACATAGTGAGTTCTAAGTCAGTCTCAACTACATAGTGAGACTGTCTCAAAAAACCAAAAAAAAAAAAAAGAAACCAAACTGTATACTGAATGCAAATATGTACTATCCTACAAAATAATGGGATGGGCCAAAATGTTTCCAAAACCAGAGGGTTCGCTGGTGCCAAGGAAACAGCCTTGGGTCTAAAGCAAGCACTGCCTGCAAAGCAAGCCATTTCCTGTAGCACCGGGTGCACAGTGAGCTGTGGGCTCCGCCGCCTGCAGGAGGAGCAGAGCCAGAGCCCCACACCTCCTCCCACAGCACTGGGGGTTCAGCAGACCAAGCAACTGGAGACTTTGCTGGGCTCATCTCTCATTTGAGTTGGTTCGTCCAATTGTAAACACTAAAAAAGAAGTAGTAAAGAGAAACCATCTGTTTTTCCCTCAGTATACCCTCCCACAGCACCTACAATGAGTCATCAGGACTTGGCTTTCTGTTCATGTGACAATTATCCCCGAAGATCCCTTTCAAAATGTAAAACAGAGAACTAAACCAATTTAAAAAAGAAAGAAAGAAAGAAAGAAAGAAAGAAAGAAAGAAAGAAAGAAAGAAAGAAAGAAAGAAAGAAAGAAAGAAAGAAAGAAAAAGTCAAACAGGCTTAGAGTGTACACAAAAAAGGCCGAAGAACCGGGGATATCTGACAACATTTTAAGGAGGAAAAAGAGGACCTAGGAATTGAAATGCTCAAATGAGCCTCCCCAGGATGAGATGTCTCTGAATCTGCAATCAGCTCTTTCTTTAAATTATCCGGCTCCGTTCACCAAGAACGAGGCAGAACTACTCGTGCCAAGAACGTCAGGCCCTCCAGATTCCGTAGCAGCTCCATCACCAGCCAGCACGGGCTGTGCCAGAGAGGTGCTCTTGGCACACGCACCCTCCTGCAGAGTCCAGACACCCGTTCCTTGGCCGGCCAGGCTGACGCGATAAACTTACTAGTGCTGGGCTGGGGTGTAGCTCAGCAGGCACCAGACCCTAGGTTCAAACCCCAGCCCTGCAAAAAGGAAAAACCGACACAACAGAGAACAGCCCAGTACGGTTGGACAGAAAGAAATCCCTCGAGAACATGCTTTGTCTCTTTTATATGCTGGTAACCAAATCAAAAGAACCCAAATAAACGAAGCACAGTAATTACATCGTGTTTCCACGAGACATGAACTCATTAAACGTTTTCTCTTAATGGGCTTCCTAAAGCCACACCCATGCGCTGCAGCGGGGACAGCCCAGGCTCACAGTCTGACAGTCCCTCCCACCACGGGAAGGGCACTTGATCCGATTCGTCCAAAGCTTTCATTTTCCTGGACAACCGAAAATAACAGAACTGGACAGGTGGGCCCTATTGCAAAGGTTGTTTTGGGTCTGTTTTTTTTCCAGTTCCGTAATAAATTTACCTGAGAAAATAGAGGAGGATGCATCACTCTCTTGATACCACTCAGACCCTTGTTATCTTTGTCTCTGACATTCGTTCTAGGGACTCGTGCCTCAAACAGGGGTTCAGGGATGATGAAGTCCTTGAGAGTGAGGACTCTTCTTGGGAAGACTCAGGATGGGTGGGGGGACTGGGGATTCTCATCTACTAACGTCCATTTACAGCTCTCAAGAGCAAGACCCAGCGCTCCTAAGGACTTTGGCCCTGAAGGAAATGCCTGGCAAAAAGGAGGCCAGAGCTAGTTCAGTTCAAGGCTTTTTCCTCCTGAGGATTCCCTACATGATGGCAAAGAAAGCACAGCACAATCCAACCTCATCTGTAAGACAAAGACTTAACTCTGCTTGCCACTGTGCAGGCGGGTGCACAACAGGCCTGAGACAGTTCTGCTACAAGGTTGCCCAGCAGGTGGATGGGCTAGGCGCGTTTCCAGGCAACAGCTGCTAAGAGTAGCCCTGCCAGGCATAGTGGCCGGTGCCTGTAATCGCAGCGCTCAGGAAGCTGAGGAAGGCGGATGGCAGTTTGAGGTCAGCCTGGACTACAAAGGGAGACCCTGTCTTAACAAAACAACAAAGAAATAGCTCGGTGCAAACGACATGGCTTATGCTAACAATGCACTTGCTTTACCTCTGGGAGTCCCGGATTTTGTCACTGGCCAGGCAGAGGCTGCCTCTGGGATCAGACCTCAGAGAAAGCCTTTGGAGCAGGGACACAGGCGGCTGCATTTTCATGGCGGGAAAAGCGCTGTGTACGAGCCAGATGGAGCGGGGCCTCCAGACTCTGCCCGGGTCTTGCTCCTTCCAAGCCAGCTGTGGATGCCTGCCGTGTCAGGCACAGATCTCAGCCGTGGCTTGTTGGTCAGCCTTTCGTCACTGGGACAAAATGCCCGATTTAAAGGAAGAAAGGTTTACGTCAGCCTGTAGTTTCAGAGGTTTCAGTCCATGGTCATCATGGCCAGAGAGCTTGGCAGCCAAGAAGCAGAGAGGGAAAGAACCACAGAGGAAGAGGCCAGAACCCAATACACCCCAAAGGCATGGCTCCCCGTCCCAGTAAACCCACCGAGTTACAAACTCACCCCTGAATGAAATTAGGAATCCTCAGGAGCCAATCAGCTCCTTACATCCCATCAGCTAACAACTAGCTTTCAAATCAATGGCCTTTTGGGGGGATGTCTGGATCCCAATGGACAACGGGGAGCACCACTACAGGCTGAGCCCTGACAGTCTTCCCAGGGAGTCTCCAAATCTAGGGTGGTCCTTGGGTGTTCTGAGGTACAAGCACTCATGTAGTTCACAAAAGCATTTGGAGTTTTATTTTTTAAAGTTTTGGACCAGGGATCAAACTTGGGACTTTGCACTTGTGAGGCAGGCAGAAGCACCAGAGCTAAATCCCTGACCCTAGTGTTTTCTTTTTTAATTGTGAAAAACTGCTCATAAAATATACCATTTTCACCATCACGGTGAGCACATTTCAGGGCATTAATATTCACCTTGTTATGCAAGTTTCACCAACGTTCTTCATAACTTGGGAGACAGAAATGGTGCTGTGGATGTTGCCCAGTGGTGCTGTGCCTGCCTACCAAGCACAAGGTCCTGAGTTCGATTCCTGATACCCCCCCACAAAAAAAGTGGAATACTGAAACTGTACCCTCATTAAACACTGGCTCCTTATTTCTCCATCTGTCCCAGCCCATCATTCAGCTTTCTATCTCTATAAATCTCACTTGATCCCCCAAATAATTGGAGTCATATGGTATTTACTTTTTGTGACAGTTTTGCCTAATATCCTGAAGGTCTACCCATGTTGTAGCATGTGCCAGAATTTCCTTCCTCTTAGAGGAATAACATGCCTGCGTGATACATCCTGTTTGTTTGTCCAGTCCTCCATCCATGGACACCTGGCTGGCTACTCTGAATCATGAATGTGGGTATATACATACCTAGTCAAGCAGCTGCTTTCGTTCTTTTGGGGACATGCCCAGAAGTGGAACTGCTGGAGGTGGTGATCCTATTTTTAGTTTTTTTGCGACACTGACTTTTGCAGGCTGAATAATACTATACCACATGGATAAAGCAAATTTGGTGTATCCATTCAATCACTGACGGAGAACTGAAGTTGTTTCCACTTTTCGGCTATTGTGAATAATGCTGCTCTGAACACGAGTGTGTAAACATCGCAAGTCACTACCCGCAGTTCTTTTGAGTATGTAGCCAGAAAGGGAGCTGCTCACTCGTGGGGAGAAACTGCCATACCGTTTTCCACGTCCGCATCATCTAACACTTCTTCTCTTCCAGGTTTTTCTGTGTTTATGAGCTACCCTAACTGGCGTTAGGACTCAAAATTATTCTAACCATTAATTAGAACTCATTTGTAGCTTCAGAACTTAAAAGATTCCCAGGGATTTATGCTAAGTTAACAAAAAGCCAGCCAACCAACCAACAAAAACTCCCAGAGGAAAAGAACCTTCAGTATGAACGGCCCAAGCCCAGGTTTCAAGGTTTGCAAGTCTTTTGTTTGTTTGTTTTTATTTTTTGAGGCAGGGTCTCACTAGGTAGTTCAGGCTGGCCTTGAGCTCACTATGAAGACCAGGCTGGCCTCGAACTCATGGTGATCCTCCTGCTTCAGCCTCCTGTGTGCTGTGATTACAGGTGTGTGCTCCCAAGCCTGCCTCAACATCTGCATGTGAACATTTTCCAAATAGTGACACTGCCTTCCCAGGCCTAGGACCATCAAGCAGTGTCTGTTGTAAAATGTATACATGACCACGCTCTGCCCCACAAGTTCAGCTCACTACAGGCCTGGGATTTTTTTTTTTCTTCTCTACCTTTCAGGAAAATTACTCTCAGAAGACCTCCCCTGGGGAGTGTGTTTATTTTTCTAAATGTGCCTTTTTGTTTATTTATGGATGCTACAGTCATCTTTTAAGACCCGAGACAATTTTACCCTATTTCATGATACAACTAAATTGGCCACTCATTGCTAGGAACTACTAGGTAAGAAAACTCACTGAAAATAAACATTTAAAGAGGAAGAAAGCTTCCCAAAGTTCTGACTGCAACTCAGCATCTCCCGGTTTATTTGAATGTCATTCCCAGATAACATGTGCAGCAGCATATGCTCCCGATACTATGTAGTAAAACAGAATCTGCGCCCAGCAAGAGTCTCTCCATGTCACACGGCCTGGATCTCGGGGGTGGGGGTTTCCATTCGCGAGCAGGATTCGAGGGAACTTGACACAACCGAAAATCATCTTTGAACAGTTATGACTGACACAATAGACTTCCCTTATCGCACTTGTTTTAAGTATCCGTAAACTTTAATTCCCACTCCGGCTGACTTAAGCCTTAGTTCCTTGATTTTCCACACCCGACCTCTACCAATGGGCTGAGGAGATGCAAGGCGGCTTCCTCCATCAGGCACCTCGGCCAGGCCAGCGGCTGTTCTGCTCCGGAAGCCACAGCCCCGCGCGTCAAATGCTCCGGTAATCAGAGCCCCGGGCCACTATGGCAACGGCGTCCCACTCCACAGTGAAGAATGAAATCGTTCCAAAAAATCCAAATATCACCATGACCAGGAGCTGCCAGTGAAGGAGCAGGTAGTTGCTGTAGAAAAACGCCACGGCCGCGCAGATAGACTGGAGACAGAGGAGACAGCACAGATGCACGCAGGGCCAGGTGGGCGCAGGTGGCCTCACCACCTCAGAGCCTGGAGCCCAGACGCCACTGTGCTGGCAGCACTGGCTGCTTCCCAAACTCAGATGCGACCACCCAGGCACGGGCTCCCCAGCACACCCAGAGCTCCCCGGGACAGTGGGAATGTGCAAGGGAGCAGCGGGCTCCCCGAAGTGCAGCGCACTCGTGAGAAAGGAGTCCCAGAGCAGGAGACACACTCGGCCATGCAGTGAGGGAAGGGGGTCATGGTCTCCGCAGAAGTCTCCAGAATGAGCAGGAGACCAGAATGTAAACCTCACCCAAGTGGGCAGGGTGTTCTCACTGCTTACTGCTTCCCCGTTCTCTCCCAAACCTTTTTATTTCTTATTTGGTTTTTTGAGACAGGGTCTTGCTATGTAGTTCAGGCTGGCCTAACTCACTATGTAACCCAGGTTGGCCCTGAACTCACAGCGATCCTGCCTCAGCCTCCCAAGTGTTGGTTTTAAACATATGTGACACTATGCCTGGCTTCACAAACCCTTTTAAAGGAGGCCTGCAAATCTTAATCTCTCTCTTTCTTTGGGTACTAAGAATTGAACCCAGGACCTTTACAATGAGTTACAGCCCAGGCCTTTTTTATTTTTATATTTTGAGACAGGGTCTCCCTCACTTGCTAAGTTGCCCAGGCTGGGCTTGAACTTGAGACCTTCTTGCCTCAGCTTCCCAGAGTGCTGGGATTATAGGCGTGAGCCATCATGACTACCTGTCAACTCTTACTTAAAGACCATAATACTAGTTACCAGGGAAAACAAAGCAAAGCATGAAGGAAAAGAACTCTCAATACAATCTGAAGAAGTTACCTGGACAAACTTAAAGATGGCAAAGGCTGGAGCACTGTCTTCAGAATAGAGAAAGCCCAGGATGCTAAGCAGCTGGGTATTAAAGCAGCTGTCTCCCAACCCCAACAAAAAACTGCAGAGAATGGCAACTTCTTTGCTGAGGAAAATAAAAATTAATTTAGTGTAAGAAGTATTAATATTTGCTAGAGCCACTTACAATGTAAAAGTAACCTACCCACAAAAACATTTTATCAAGTTTAAACACATCAAATAAGAATAAATAGAGCCAGGCACAATGGTGCATGCTTGTAATCCCAGCATTCTAGGAGGCTGAGACAGGAGGATCCCAGATTCCAGCCCAGCCTGGGCAACTTAGCAAGATTCTGCTTCAAAATAAAAAATAAAAAGGACTGGCCAGGTGTAGTGGCACACACTTATAATCCCCATACTCAGGAGGCTGAGGCAGGAGGACTGCCATGAGTTTGAGATCAGCTTGGGCTACATAGTGAGGTCCAGGTCAGTCTCAACTATACAGTGGGACCTGTCTCAAAAAACAAAAATAAAATAAAATAAAAAGCAGGGATCTAAAATTCGAATCAGATACTTCTGCAATCCTTCCTTGATCAAGAAGATGATTTAGTTGGGAAAAAAGGTTAAAAGCAACTCTTGCAAAAAAGAACTTGGGATTCCTTACAGACCCTACTTAAACTCTTTCAGGCTCCATTAACACCGGACAGGTGGCCTCGAAAGGATAACAGACTGAGAGGATTACATACTGCATTCCAGACCTCGCCATCCAGCACCTGCCCTCCCATCGAATCACTGGGAAAGCAGCTGTGACTTTACCTGGGCCTGATGTAAGCGCTGCTGTCAGTTCCCTCCACGGGGGTAATGGGGGCGTCTCCAGGCATGTTGAGAAATATTAAATAAAAAGCCACAAAGTGCACCAGAATACCCAACAGCACAACAGGATTTCTACCAAAACGATTATTCTTGCTCAGCAGGCCAAAAAGGCTTCCACCTACAAATTAAGATAGTAGAAACATTAATAAAGTACTAACATATTATAGAGCATATCTGGTGTTGAATTATGATCCAACAGTCATGGAATAAATATTATTGATTGTCCAATATCTGCCAATATTCAACACCTCAGCACTTGTAGACAATCACAATTAAACACCGACTATTAAACAAAAATAAGGTATCAAAATTACTCGTATTTCTTTCTAGCCAATAATCTCTTTACATTTCGAGTTTCTTTACCCCCAAAATGATCCTCTTTGAATTATACCTTATAACAGAAATAAAATAAAATTTCAAAGACACAACTTATCTGTGGCTATCATGTTTTTGCTATAATCATAGCTGAAAGGGCCAAGCACCTCATGGAGAGGCAGCCACTGAGAAGCTGAGGGTCATGTGCAACCTTGAAAGGGTGGAAAGAAAGGTTTGGGTATTTCCACACTCAGGACAGTTTGGAACAAAGTGAGGGACAAGAGAATACCTTTCCACCCAAAAGGCAGAAGAAAAGAAAGCCATTACACTTAAAATCCTTACATGATTTCTGCCCTAGAAATCCACACCAGCAAATCTATAAATTAAACTGACCAGGAAGACGTTTGGAAAAAAATAAGAGACAAGTGTGAACAAATTCCAAATAAGTCAGAGATCTACATATGAAAGCTAAAGCACACAGATGTAAGGAAAAATTGGGTAAATCTTCTTCAACCTAAGGGTAAAGAATAGCTTTCTAACTGCAACTCAAAACCCAGGAGCAAAAAAATTTACATTGGTAAATTTGACTCCATAAAAAATAAAACTCTGGAAAAAGCACCATAAGTAAAGCTAAAGACATGGCAAAGTGGGGGAAACATTCCCAACATAAGAGTTCAGAAAAAGAGCTCCCTAATTTTATAAAGAAAAAAAATTTTTTGAGATAGGTCTTACTATGTAGTTCACGCTGGCCTGGAACTTGTGGCAATCCTCCTGCTTCAGCCTCCCAAAGTTCTGGGATGAAAGGTGTGCATCACCATTCCCAGCTTATGAAGAAAATATGAAATTGAGCAAGGGCTCAAAATCTTAGCAGAATGGAGAAAAAACTCAAAGGTGTGGTAGCACATACCTATAATCCCAGCACTCTGGGAGGCTGAGACAGGAGGACCAAAAGTTGAAGGACTTGGAAACTAAGGACCAAGGTCTATTTGTAATTTAAAGTATTCAAAGGGCTGAGGATGTAGCTCAGTGAAAAAGTATGCTGGCACCCATGAGGTCCTAGCACCACTGAAAAAGGAAAGAAAAAAAGATTAGAAATTGTTTTAATGCGTGCATGTGTGTGTGCGTGTGCATGCATGCGTCCGAGTATTTCCCAGACCTGTCCACTAAAGGAGCCAAGAAGCAAAGACATCTCAATGGCTGTGAGATCCCCAGTGCCACATTCCCCACTGAGAGGAACTAGGGCCCCTTGGAGAAACAAATATCTGGGGCAGGACAGGCATGCCATAAGCTGGGGAAAAGCCATCTGTCAGATGTAAACACTCACAAAGTAGAAGGAGCCGGGTGTATTGAGAACACCTATAACTGCAGCACTCAGGAGGCTGAAGCAGGAGAACCACTGAGTTTGAGGTCATCCTGGGCTACATAGCAAGTTCAAGCACAGCCTGAACTGCCCAGAGAAATTTGGTCTCCAAAAAACAAGTAGCAGGGACACAACACAAAGATACAGAAGTCTGCTCTGAGAGGGTTCCCACGGACCGAAGCTGGGCCAACGTGAGCATCAAAATAATTGAGCACAGCAATGATAGTAAACCATTCGGAAGAAACAGGAATTCATGAGTCCATACAAACATTAAGTACACAAAAGCGGGAGAAGGTTCTGCCTGTGGGAGAACACCAAGGGCCGACAGTGGGTGGGAAGTCATCTTTGCCGCTATGAGTGTAAAGAGCAGATCAGGAGACAATCACCAAGAGAGGCTAAATCAGGAGAAACTGCTGTGCCACAGGACAGGGGCATTGCCTCCACAGGCCTCCCGGAGAGTGCTTGCTGGTCGCCAAGGAGAAACTTAGAGGGAAGGGCTGGCCCTGGACAAGCTGGTGATGCATCCCTATAACCCCAGGACCTTGTGAGGCTGAGGCCCAAGTTCCATCCCAGCCAGGCAAATGCGTGAGACTTTGTAGGGCTGGGGATGTAGCTCAGCGAGGTAAAACCCTAACCCTAACCCTAAGAGGAAAGGAGACTGGGTACCCTTGGAGGGCTGAAGCTTCCAGGCTCTTTACCCCACCCACCCTGGGGAGGGAAGAGAGGCTAAGAATTTCATTTAATCACCACTGCCAGCCAATACTTTGATCTGGCTCACCTACAGAACAAAATCTCCCCAAGCCCGTCGGGGTTGTCAGAACTTCTCCAGTGGTGAGCACATCTCTGTGCCAGGACAGTGGTGTAACCTAACTCCATGGGGTTGGGAGGGGGCTTTTCAGACTCACCCCTGTACCTACTCACCTGGCTATTCATTTGCATCCTTTATAATAAAATATAGCAGTGGAAAAGCCAGGCATGGTGGCGCACGCCTGTAATCCCAGCACTTGGGAGGCTGAGGCGGAAGGATTCCCATGAGTTTGAGACCAGCCTGGGCTACAAAGTGAGTTCAAGGCCAACCTGAACTACATAGTAAGATCCAGCATTTAAAAAAAAAATTTTTTTTTTATTGACTTTGGGGAGATGGCAGAGGAAACTTGCTACCCCTAAAACAAATGGGATATCTTAACTACAAGAGACTATATAACTGTGTGAGGCTGTGTAAAGGTGGGGCCTTGGAGGTAGGTTTTCAGTGTATATTTATTAAAATTCTTAGACTGCATGTTACAATAGCTTCATAGTTGCCGTATTACTGCCGACCAGTGACTACATACCCAGGTACTTCCACCTGGTTCTCTTCCAATACCGTGTGTCAGGCCTGACTTTAGTGAGTCCTTCAACAGCAAACAGGACAAAGCAAACGGGCTGCTTCTGGCAAACAACAGCTTCTTGGTAAACAGGGCAAACAGACTCAAAACATAGCATGTACCCCCCCACCCCGCGGCACAGAGAAGTCCCGTGACTGTCTATACACCCAGGAGGCCAACCTTGGGCGTCCAAGTCATACAGATTTCACCCCAGGTTCCTTAGCCCCTTCAATACCTACATAAGCCTACTGCCTTTGCCGGCTGGTTGCTAAGCTCTCTCCCCTGGTGTTGGCCCATCCTCTCGGGGATGACATCTCAGCACTATCTTTGTCTCCCCATGTCAGCCCATCCACACACGGATGTGACAAACTCGGCTTTTCCCAGCTAGCTGCCAGAATCTCCTGATTTTACTCTCTGTTCACTGGAATAAACTTTCCTTTCAAAAGCCTGTTTTTGACAAGTGGATTCTTTATGACACCATGTTAATTTGCAAGGGCTTTAAAACTGGATTGAGTCAAATACTGACGATGAAATAAACTTCATGACTTACACATATTTGTAAATTATGTTTACAATGCAATGCTAATAAATAAATGAAGGGGCCGGGGATTTAGCTCAGCGGTTCAGTGGCCTGCCTTGCAAGTGCAAGGACCTGAGTTCAATCCCTGGTACCAAAAAAAAAAAAAAAAAAAAAAAAAAAAAGAGTAAATAAACTATAGCAGTGAGTACAGCGTTTTCCTGAATTATGCAAGCTGTTTAGGAATTTATCAAGCCATCAAGGGGAGGGGTCATGAGAACCCTCAAATTCATAGCTGGGTGAGGCAGAAGTGGGGTAGTCTTGCAACCAGTCTGATGTGAGGGTGGTCTGTTGGACTGAATCCTTATATTTGCAGAGTGTTAAAAAATTACAGGAGGCCACTGTTTGGAACTAAGCTTATGCTCTGGGCACCAAGAGAGCCGACTAAAAGTCAAAATGGAGTCACTTGTGCTAAAGTTCCATGTCACCAAAACAAAATTAAGTTGTTTTCAGATCTTCCTAGAAACACACAATAGCCAAAATTTCCAATTAGCATGACAATGACGAACTTCGGTTTTAATCCTTACATCCTTGCAAAGAAACCTGAAGTTAACCATTAAATTATTTGTCTGTTGTTCATCTCTCTGTCCTGCCTTACAAGGAAAGTCACTCCAAAATGAGGATCACTTTTTGCTCACTGTTTCTGCCCTTTTCAGGGATTCCCTATCTATAAAACCAGTCTCTTCCGCTGAGCCAACAAGAGCGCTTATTCTGTGTTAGGAAGCAAGTCAAATATAAAACCAACTGAGATCTCCAAACTGAATTGTTGCAGTTTTGCCCTTCAAAAGGAGTTTGGCATTCACTCGGGAAAGCTGGTATCAGCACAGGATTGAAATGCTAGACACAAAATAGATGTTATAGTCAGAGAATGGGAAAGACTGGAAAGTCAGAGACACTCCCTATTTTAAAAGGAAGAACTGGAAGAGACCATGTTTACTTACTTGTGGTTTCCACCTGGCAAATGTTTTATAATTTACTTGGAATAGTGATAAGAGAAAAACAAAACATTCCTGTTTGGATAAAATATAAGTAAGAAAAACAAAAATTCAAGGACAGAGAAATATACTTAAAATTTGTATTTTCAATCTAACAAATATTCAAAGGCTCTTTTTTAAAAAACCAACCTAGAATTTCTCCAATGCCGATGAAAATGCCAGAAAGTCCAATGAGGCTTTTCTCTTCTGTTCCAAATTTATTTATGGCACCAATACAGGTTCCATATACTCCAAAGAAGAAAGTCAACCCCAGACCTTTAGAAAAGAAAAGTCAGATTTAATTTAACCTTGCATTCACATTCTCCTTTTCCTAGTTTTTCACGTCTAACAGTAGTTGAGGTATATATACATAAAACAAAATTCATTGAGGCTGAATTATCATTCCTAAATAGAGAAATAATTCTGCACTATCTAACTAATGAAAGGGAATTAGCCACGTGGTAAAAACTGAATGCCTGGCTGCCTCCAAAACTGCAGCATATGCCTACAATCCCAGCTCCGAGAAGGCTGAGGCAGGAGGACTGCTACAAATTCCAGGAAGCCTAGGAAAAATGATGAGCTCAAGGTCAACCCTAGAGACAGACGCAGCTCCGAGTTTGAGCCCAGTCTGGATCAGAAAGCAACACCTTGTCTCAGTAAATCAAAACCAAAACCAAAAACCATAATACTACAAACATGATGGCATAAAAACTAGCTTACAAACAGACAGCTAGCTGGGGAAATGCTCTGCTGATAAGAATGAAAAGAAGAGTAATAATGAAGGTCTCTGGACCAAGAATGAACTTCCTCAGGCCACATGGAATGCAGCCCCTCCATATTAAGCTCCTGAATTTTGAGAAACTTAAAATATAAAATAACACTTTGTTCTTTAAAATCCCAGTTTCCTTTAAACCCTCCATGATGAGCAAGTGGGTTACAGCGCCTGTGCTCCAGTCGGCCATTTTAAGCTCTCAGAGCCACCTGTGACAGGTGGCCACTAAACAACTGAGCGATTCCTGTGCTCCTCTTATTCATAAAAAGTTCTAGACCCCAAGACCAACAGGAAATTTCCACTTTTCAGATTCCCTTCCTGGAGGAAGCAGGGGTCTTTTTTTTTTCTTCTCCTGATTTCCAACAAACACTCTTCTAAATTGCTCCTTTCAGTCCGTGACTGCACTCCTCGTTGCAAGAGCACAAGCTTGGTTTGTACAGATCTCACTGTCTCAGTGGCTCTCGGGGCTTTCAGGAGGTAATCAGATCAGGAGGGTGGGGCCCTCACAATGGGGTCAGTGCCCTCACCTGAACACAGACACCAGCAAGGTGACTTCCCGTCCCCTTTCTGCCTGCATTGTGAGCACACAGGGAGAAAACTGCTGTCTATAAACCAGGAAGAGGCCCTCACAAGAAACTGACCACGCCACCTCTCCAGGCTCAGAAGTCCTGTCTCCAGAAGCATAACAAGTACACATGTAGTGTCAAATACCTGGTCTATGGCAACTTGTTATAGCAGCTCAAACTAGGACACCACAGAGAGCAGCTAACATATATTTTGATTAAAACATAAATCCCCAATAAAGACACCCTTATGTTAAAATTTGTCACTCTTCTGGAGGCAGGGGATGGGCAGAGGATGTAGCTAACATAAATTTATGGCGGTGAACACGGGAATAGGGGCATCCCTATTCCTGCAATGATTGCATTCTTACCGCACTGGGAAGCCAAAACACACTAGCCACTGTTGCTGAAGATAGATCATGTTTTAATGAAAAAAGTTTTTTCTGGGAAAAGAAAATTCCTAAAATTAAGATTAAAAATTTAGGATGAATCAATAGAAGACTTTTTTAATCTCTTAATGCTACAAAACCTTAACTGTGAATCTTACAGATGTCTGGCACATTCATGACAGGGCTATAATTCCTGTGCCTTGCTGCCGGCCAGCTGTGATTTGAATTTAATCATCCCACCAGCTTGATCCCTGGTGGTACATGCATGACTACCTGAAAAACTGGGTTTTGCAATGGCTGCAAAAAAAAAAAGGACAAACATATTATGTTTTGCACACTGCACAAATCAGCCACCTTTATGTATAAAATGTTTAAAAGAAATTCAGCAATATAAATTAATTTCTTTTAATTTAATGCAATGAATTTGTTGACTATTATAATCATTTTCAGTTGTTCTGAACAGTATTAATATTTATATTTGGGCAGTAATTATTCAAATGTATGCAACTAACTAGATTCAGCCCATTTATAGACTTTTAAATTAATTTTCTTAGTAAAGAGACCAATGAAAGTGATTAGATCTGTTTTTACCACCAGTGGCACAAGCTGCCCAATGAGATGGTCATGACTGTATCACCGGTGGTTCGAATTGGCGGGAATGCTTTAATGTTTCTTTTTCTTCTAAAAAGGTGAGGCACTCAGAGAACAGCAATCAGCACAGCACTTTTTAAAAGGAAGTGGATTTCTTATCATTCCTAGGGCCTCAGAGCTCCTCACCTGTTCTCCCACCCTGTTCTCACCTGCTTCGATTTCATTAGAAGTGAAGACTAAAGTGCATATAAAGTTCCAGGGCTTTGTCTGGTGATTTCCTGTCACCTTCAGATCACAAGAACCCTGATCACTGGTGGTCCTGCCCTCCTGCAGAATTCTCCCACCCTGGACTTGGGCTGGCCCTGTGGTTTACTGTCACCAACAGAATGCAGCAGGAATGATCTTGGGCTGGACCCAGGCTGGACATTTAGGGAGGTCTGGCAGTTTTTCCTGTTGACCTTTTTTGGTGCCTTTAGCCACTAACTGAGAATTCTGACTCTCCTGCCTGGTCATGAGATCCTGCGGCTGGGAGGGCTCTGAGACTACAAGGAGAGACACAGACAGACAGACAGACCCAGGCTTTCTGCCAACCCTGTCAAGGTAGCAGACATATGAATGAAACTGCCTCAGAAGCCCCAGCTCCAGGTGCCCTTGAAAAGCAACCTCAGGAGACACCACGTGATGCCACAGCTTAGAGCGGTCAAAGCACAGAAGCTCAAGAAATAATGACATGGCTACTGCTTGTACCTCTTACCGTCATTAAGCAACAGCAGGGAAGCACACTGACAATACCCTTACCTGTATAAGCAGTTGTGATACTAAGAAGGAGCATCTCCTTGGTGACACAGAGCTTAAGAGACCTTTCTGCGAAGGAAAAAAAAAAAAGGTAGGACTGCTTAACTAGAGCTTAACTAATCAATGTTCTAATACATTGCTTCAACCAAACCATCCCTTGACAATAACGCCAGTAATCAAATACTTTGGGACAGAAGTTCAATATTCATATTAAAATGATTAAGGTCTGAACTAAATCTGCCTAAAAATGAAATGTTTATTCCAAGAGCTTAAATATATTCCGGAGTTGCATTTTTCTCAAAATACTTCATAGCTCTTATAACAAAAACAGTGTGAAAGGAGGGCAAAAACAGAATCGAACAAAACCACCAAGGACTTCCACGGCTGTGATGAAAGCTGCACTGCGAAGCGAGTCAACGGCAGCCAAGGGCCGAGCTCCCCCAGGAACCATCATGGGGCAGCCCTGTGGCCGGGCTCAAGGTGAGAGTCAGCAGGGAAAGCTGGCATTTCCCAGGACTCGGGGAGACCGAGACAAAACCTCAGGGCCCAGGGCCAGGGATTTAGCGCAGTGGTTTCAGCCGCCTGCTTTACAGGCACAAGGACCTGAGGTCAATCCCCGGTACCAAAAACAAAACCTCAAGTGCCTCATACCTGCTTCCAATCACTGCAGCGCATGTGCGACCGTGTGGAAATGTGCAACCGAGAATGCATTTATAAAAACCCCACATTTGAAGCTGCTCACCTCTTATAACCTAAGGACCGCTCACCTACATTACTAAACTAAGCGTGGACCCAGACTTAGATCTTTTTCAACCACTGGCCTTGCCAACACTGTCCTGAAGAGGTCCTACGCTCTCCACAGGTAAAAGAGGACATTTTTTTTCTCTAATCTCACTGAAATACAGTGAGAATAAATGCAGTAAGAAATTTTCACTGATCCCTTCCAGGTATTCAGGAGAAAATACACAAACAATACAGTTTTTAAAACATTTTAATTTTGGGGGGGTACCGGGGATTGAACTTAGGACCTTGCGCTTGCGAGGCAGGCAGCGGGACCACTGAGCTAAATCCCCGGCCCAAAACATTTTTAATTTATAAAAATTACATTAGCAAAACATATTCTTTTTTAAAATAACTAGAAGGTTTAGCTAACAAGACAAAATTCTAACACATTACCTAGCATGATACTCTAATAGCTGATACACAGAATCACACATTTGTCCAGATGCATAGAATGTACAACACCAAGAATGAACCCTAATGTAAACCATGACCTTTGGGTGATAACACTGCACCCCTACAGATTTATCCAGTGTAACAGGTACCACTGAGGGGGGACAGTGACAAGCAGGGGAGCTGTGTCCCCAAGTGTAGGGACAAGGGGAATATGGGAACTCTACTTTCTGTTGAATTTTGCTGTAAACCTAAAACATTTCTTAAAAACAATGAAGTCTATTAAAGCCCACCAACATAAAATCTATTTGCAAAAATTGTTTAACTGATCCTGTAATTCATATGTAACTTCAAGGGACCCAGAACAGCCAAAACAATCTTGGAAAAGAACAGATGTAGGGCCAAGGATATAGCTCAGTGGCACTGTGCCTGCTTCTTAAGTGCAAGGTCCTCAGTTTAGTCCCTAGTACCAGGGGTGGAGTGGGGGTGGGGAATAAAAAATAAAAAAAGAACAAATGTAGAGGACTCACACTATCTAAACACACAGTGATCAGCATGATTCCAGTACAGAAACAGATACGTTGGACCCTCAAGTTACCACGGGCCTGACATACAAACAACTTGGGTTACGAATGGAATTTTAGTTCTAACTTATGAACAGTCTGGTGCTATTACCCAAATCCCAGCCACTTGTGCTTCCAGATGGTCTCAGATACAGATTTAACCCTTGAATTGTTCTGGAAGGAACATTACAACATCCTTTCCTGTGTGGGGTTAACCGAGAAATCCTGGGCCAGTTATCTCTCTAAGGGCACTCAGATTGGCCTGTATATAGGAGAGAGACTTCGAAGGCTGTACAGGAGCCCAAGCCTTCAACTGACCAACTTGTGTTACAACCAGCCCTCGGGAATGAATTGAGTTTGTAAGTCAAGGGTCCACCACACAAACACACCTAGAAATAAACCCTTGTATTCATGAACAACTGATTTTCAACAAGGGCAACAGCACCGTCCAGTGGGGAAAGAACAGACTTCAAAGGAAATGGTTCTGAGATAACTGTGGACCCACATGCCGAAGAACAAAACTGGAGCCTGCCTCACACACCAAACACAAAAATTAACTCACAATGGATTACAGACCTAAACAGAACAACTAGAACGTCACTGGACACCGAAAGCACACACAGCAAAAGAAAAGTAGATAAATCAGACTCCATCAGAATTAAAAACTTTTATCCAGAACCGCAATATCACTTTGCATATGTTAGCATGGATAGTATCAAAAGGGGAAAAGATACCAAGTGTTGGAAAGGATGAAGGAAAGGGGAACCCTAGTACACTGTGGGTGAGACGTAAATTAGTGTACTCTTTATGGAAAATATGCCAGTTCCTCAAAAAACTTAAAAACAAACTATCACACAAACCAGGGATCTCACTTCTTGAAGAAATATCTGTTACCCGGTCCACTGCAGTGTCATTCCCAACAGTCAGCAGACAGAAACAACTAAGAGTCCTTTGACAGAAAAACAGAAAACAAGACAAACACACACAGAGGAATATTATTCGGTCTTAAAAACAATAAGGAAATCCTCCTACTTGGGACGGCACGGTTGACCTGGAGGTTACTATACTGCGTGAAATAAGCCAGATGTGGAAGGGACAAATACTGCACCACCCTGCTCACAGCCGGGATCCAGAGGAGCAGAGCCAAAAGCAGAGAGAGCGACAACTGCAGAGCCGAAGACTGAGGATTACTGATCAGCGAGCACAAAGTTCCACTGGGCAGGGCGGTAAGACCGCAGCTTAGGGACAGCTTGGTGGTTACAGTTAATGACAATCCTCCACTGCACGCTGCTCCAACTTTGCTACGCGAGTAGCTCTCCCATGCTCTCATCACATACAAAAAAAGGCAATTACGTGAGGTGACAGTTATATTAATTAGCTCGATGGTGACAACCATTTCACAGTACACACTTTCATGAAAACATCCTGTTGTATGCCACAAATACACATAATTTTTTATTTGTGAACTATGCCTCAGTTAAGCTGGATGGGAAACTTAAAACTTTTGTTTTAAAAGAGACCATCAAGAAATGAATAGAAGAAAAAGTACTTATGAGTGTGTGTGTGTGTGTGTGTGTATGATTTGGACTCTCAAAATAATAAAAGCGAACCCAACTTAGAAAAGCCAAGAAGCCGGGCATGGTGGCGCACACCTGTAATCCAACACGCAGAAGGCCTAGGCAGGAGGAGCGCCATGAGTTCAAGGCCAGCCGGAGCTATACAGCAAGACCCTGCCTCAAAAGTGGGCTGGGGAGGTGGCTCAGTGACACCACACCTGTCTGGCAAGCACAAGGTCCTGAGTTCAATCCCCAGTACTGGAAAAACAAAATAAAACAGAACAAAACAAAAAAATGGCAAAGGATCAAAATAAAAAGGGCTAGGAATGTAGTTCAGTGCAAAGGCCCTGGGCTCAATCTCCAGTAAACTATCACGACCAGCAAAAAAAGAAAAAAAAAGGGCAATCAACATGAGCAGGCATTTCTCCCAAGAAGACAGACACAAACAGCCAATAAGCATATGAAAGCAGTCTACAACTTCACAGCACCATCAGGGAGATGGTCAGGACTGATTAATAAATGAAAAGTGAAACCCTGGCCACAGACCAGCTATACAAGGCCTTGGCCTTCTCTTTTCCTCCCCTACTCCTCGGCTCTCAGGCTACCTCACAGCTCACGCTGCACCCACCCTGTTACCTAACCCGCTAAACCCCACTAACCCTGCATGTGCACACCTTCTTCGGCTGTTGCCCTCTTCTTTTTCTCTGTTCCAACCTGCCAGCTCACCCTCCTCTCCCGGAGCAGCCTAGCAAGTGACTGACGAGATCTACAACCAGAAGAAGCCTATGCTGCATTTTATAGGCAGAGTTGGGGCAAAGTCTAGGAAGAAAATCCTCGGTCGGCCAGCTCACCACAGCCCACCAGGGGGTGCTGTATTTGGGAGCAGAGAGGCTGCACCATGCCTCACTTTCCTGGGGACCCCTGGAAATTGGAAGTCACGTACGCTCTCTTCCCTAACTCCAAGCACACCAAGGAAGCCAATGGGCTTTCTAGGCCCTTGAGAACAAGAAAGGCATAGCTTAATAAAAAAAGAAAGAAAAAAGAAAGGAATAGCTACGAAAGGGCTCACTAAATAACTGCATCAACTATTAAACTGAAATTTCTTTAGAATTTAACTTGAGTCATTTCCCTTCTGAATCCTCTGAGGATAATGGCTCTTCTATTTTTGGGGGTTTTTTCTTTGTTTTTTTGAGACAGGGTATTCCTATGTATGCAGTTCAGGCTGGTCTTGAACTCACAGTGATCCTCCTGCCTCAGTCTGGAGTGGTGGGATTATACAAGATCTTAGACTCAAAGGGCCAGGGATTTAGCTCAGGGATTCTGCTGCCTGCCTCATGAGTACAAGGTGGCAAGTTTGATCCCCGTACCAAAAAAAAAAGATCCTATACATGCAGAGCTAAAAGCCAGACTGTGAGTGGTAGTGACCTCCCATCTTGCTGGGGAATCAGGCTATATCCCATTGAATAAAAACAATAGCCTGATTTATAATTATGAAATACAAAACACGCATAAAATAAGAGTCTGATAGCCGGGTGTGAGTGGCGCATGCCTGAAATCCCAGCATTCGGGAGGCTGAGGCAGGAGGATAGCTGTGAGTTCGAGACCAGCCTGGGCTACATAGTGAGACCTTGTCTCCAAAAAACAAACAAATAAACAAAAAGAGTCTGATAAAACAGCTGGGATGACGTGACCACTTTGTATGGAGGGTTCAGACACCGAGACTCACAGGTCCTTTCTAAAAAGGCCTACAGGGACTCCTGAGCGACAATGTCAGTGTCCTCTGAGCTGGGCCACAGCAGATTAGATCAGGGACTTTGCACTAGCCCAAGGCTTTCCGTAAACAAATCATAAATACTTAAGGGTGCTGGGAGCTCTGTCGCCACCACGCAGTGGCCATCACGCTCCCTGTGGAGTCACTGCCTGGGTGAGAGGGCCGTGGGCAGAAGCAGGAGTCAGAAGGAACCATTCTGCACATCTGCTCTACCTGGCAGTCAGCGTGGCCTCCAAGCCCGGCTCAGCACCTACCACTAGCTGGATGACCTTGGGGAAGTTATTTCACCTCTCTAAACCTTAGTTTTCTCTTCTCTAAAATGGAGTTAAGAATAATAGCTCATATTACGGAATACTCACAGAGTTGTGAGCATTACGGAAAGTAAACTACATTACATTGAGAGTTGAGGAGAGTCAGCGGCCATGAAGAACCCGCACTGGATGAGCACTCCTCTTCCTACTCGTCTCTGGGTCCCTGGGGCCAAGTGGCCATCAGCCTGCCCGACCCCCCAAGCTCCCCGAGTGCTCCCCACCCAAGAGACCCCGATACCTTGGCCCCTAATCTCCACACCTGCTCAGGACAGCAGCTCTGTCAGCCCCTTTTCCACCCCCAGGTCACAGAGACAGTAATGGAGGGACCAGCGTACCTGGCAAAATGGAAACACTGGGGCCCGTCACTCCAGTTACCAGGGGAAGGGGAAACGCAAAGGCTGAAGGTTCTTGAACAGCGGTCGCATTTCAGACACAGAGAATACTTACTAAATGCATCCACTGCCTTTGTCATATTGTTCTGGGCAGACCTGGGAAGACAGAAGAAAATACATTTTCCCTCTGAAAATTAAAAAGAGAAAAATACTACCCAGCTATGAAATGTCCACCCCCTCTTCACTGCAGTCTGGAACAGCTCTGTGCTCTCCGGCTAGGCAAGCGTGTCCAGTGACAGGGACCCTTCGAGGCCCGGGTCCTTGCTTGACAGACTGTTTAAAGTGCCACCCACAAACAAAAGAAAGAAAATAACCATCCTCTGGGCAGTACAGCTGAAAACAATTACCTCTTGGTTGAAAATATGGACTTTGGGGTCCACACCCGGGCTTTGTCACTTACTACATAGTTGTAACATTTTAGGCAAGGGTGATGGCTGTGCCTAAGGTCCCCCAAAGCCTCAAGGAGTCACAGGTGGGGCCTTTCCAGAGATGGCTGGATCCAGAGTGTGTGAGCTGGGATTGATTCACGGTGCAATACTAGGATTAAGGGTGTGAGTGCTGCCTGCCCCAAGTCGCCCAGATGAGATATAAGGGACAGAAAGAGCTGTGGTCGTCCTTTGCTGGCTTTGCTACCTTCTGCCCACGAGGAACTGTTTCTTCTCTGGGATGCCTGTGTGCTATGCCACCCTGCCTTGGAGCCAGCTGACTACAGGCTGAAACTCTACAAACTGAGCCAAAACAACCTTTCCTCCCTTAATTTTGGATGTCAGATATTTTGACTCAGCAAAGAGAAAAGTAACTAAGGCAGCAAGTGTCTTCGTCTAAGTTCTACTTTCTCGTTTGTTTGTTTGTTTTGTGGTACTGGAGATTGAACCCAGGACCACTGCATGAAGCTACATCCTAGCCTTCTTTTTGAGACAGAATCTTACTAAATCACCAAGCTGCCTGGGCTGGGCACCAATTTAAAATCCTCCTGCCTCTGCCTCCCATCACAGTGTTAGAATTACAGGCGTGCACCACCACATTCAGTTGTAAAATAAGGACTCTACCACTTACCTGCAGGATTTAGGTGAGAATAAATATCATCTACAATTAAATATAATCAGTTCAAGTATAATCTTTTTAAATTTAAGTATAAGCGATAGTAACATTACAGTGAGAAAATATTTTGGGGTTTTTTTGGGGGGGTTGAGACAGTGTCTCACTATGTAATTAAACTCGCAATGTAGGCCAGGCTGGCCTCAAACTTGAGGTGATTCTCCTGCCTCAGCCTCCTGAGTGCTGGGATTACAAGTGTGTGCCACCACACCCAGCCTAGATAGTTTTTAAAAGATTATATTTTTTTACCCTATCAGCCAAGTCTAGTTTTCTTAGATCTTTATTATCGACTGACTGATTTTTATGGCACTGGGGATTGAAACCAGGGCCTTCACACTGAGCTGCATCCCAGACTTTCTTTATTTTTTTGAGACAGGGTCTTGCCAAGCAGCCAAGTTGTCCAATGTGGGCTTGAAGTTGCAATCCTCCTGCCTCAGGCTCTCACAGTGCTGGGATTACAGGCATGTGACACCACATCCTGCTTCTCAGAGAGTTAAATGATTACTTTTTAAAAAAACAAAAGACCTTTTGACAGAGATACAGATGATTTAAGTAGCCATGGTGGCGCACGCCTGCAATCCTAAATTTGGGAGACTAAGGCAGGAGGATTGCCATGAGTTCAAGGCCAGTCCAGGCTACAGCACACTGACTTCAAGGCCAACCTGAACTATAAAGCGAGCCCCTGTCTCAAAAAACCAACAACAAAAAAGAACCTGAGATAAAGGACAGATGTCGAGCTGCTCTTTCCACCTTCACGTCATCTTCTGTGGGATCTCCCACTGTTAGTTCCTACTTATACCCTCAATGGCTTCCACTAAGACCACGATTAAACTGCAAGCTCCAGGCCTGTTTCTGCAGAACCACCTGCTCCACTGCCCCTTCCGCTGCCTGGTCCAGCGCCGACCACCCATGGCTCTCCGCTCCCCCGCAGCACCCAGCTCTGGCCTTCCCCTCCTCCGCGGTCTCCCCAGGCTTACTGTGGTGTTTCCTTGCATGCGTACTGTCTGCCACCATTCTGAAGCCAAGTCCCAAGAGAACAGGATGGCTTGTCTTGGGCACAGCTCTGACCCTCAGGTTTAAAAGAGCTGCCACACAATGGGCGCTACTTGGAGAACGGAGACACAGAGGCTCCGTGTTTGCGAGACTGCTCGATGGGCTGAGCAGTCTTCCTAAGGACTGTACCTATCACAGGTACACAATTCTCTTCTCTCCAATATCCACACTTACTGTCACTGAACAACAGGACAGCATTCTGGGAAATGCATCCTTAGGCAAATGCAGACATCAGAGTGCTGACACAAACTGCGCCTCGGTCCTCACTGGGTGGCGGAGTCTTATGCGACCCCGGTCACACATGCAGTCAGTCACTGCCTGGGATGTGAAGCAGTGCATGACCGTACGCACCTCTACTGTATCACACACGTGTGCAAACACACACATACACCCAAGTATCCCCTTCTCCTTTGCTTTAAAGAAACTTAGTGCAAACTTAGTGAACACAGTGATTTGATAATGAGCATCTGGGCCTTCTTTGGATGGAAAAGGCAACACAGAAGGTTTAATGCATGAGTTCTAACAACAGGAAAAAGCTGCAAGACAATCTTCCTGATTATCAATTCACAAAGCAAAATGAGAGTGGAAAGGTTAATTTCTCTTTTCCTTCCCAAATCTAGATGATAGCAGAGAAACCACCTGTGCTGTTTGGAAGGGTCACCATGGAAACATGCCCAGGTAATTTAATTTACAGTACTCAGGGGCACCTCTCCATGCCTGTCTCCCTACTTAGACCACTGCGGGGAAAGCTACCGGGACTGATTAGTGCAAGAGCCGGCTACTGTATGCCAACAGCCTGGTGGGGACAAGCGCTGGTGGCCCTGCCACATGTCACAGGAACCCAAGAGATTTACAGCTGGATCACAGCAACAGGAAGTGAAGGCAAAGACTGTTTTCTATTTCACTTTATATTCCTGCACCCTGACACCGGGAACACACTGGAGGCCTGGATACAGGAAGGGGTCACCGCCACTGCCCAGGGTCACACGCGTCACGGGCAATGCTGGCAACAAACCTAAGTCCTTGGAAACCTCTCACTCCCTCCCTTTCTCAGGCAACCTTCTCCTTCTTCTTCCTTCACAACTCCCCCGACATCTTCCTTTCTTCTCTGCTTGAATACTTTTCCCTCCTGTCTGTCTGTGGTAACTGTCAGACAGGACTGGCTATCAGTTAGAACAAGCAAACTGGGTCCTCTCTAGACTAGATTTACTCAAAATCTTTGAACGGGAAAAGGAATGTCTTCCCACTTCTTACTCGCTGACTTCCAGGTCCTGGTCATCAGACGATTCATCTTCTCCAAGGACATTTTCAGGATCTGGTTTCCGAATGAGAAAAAACAGAACTGTCCCCACAAGGCTAATCACTGTTAGGGCAATAAACACTGTTCTTCGGTCACTCTCTAGATAAAAAGAAGAAAGTAGATAGCATCAACCAGACAATTCCTGAATAATAACTATTGTCATTACTTTTTTTTTTTTTTTCTTTTTTAGACAGAGTCTCACTATGGAGCCTGGAACTCATGGTGATGCTCTTGCCTCAGCCTCCAGAGTGTTGGGATTACTGGTGTGTACCACCTGGTGGTACCTGGATTACTGGTGTGTGCCTGGCCTGAGTTATTATTATGTTGAAGGTTGTTTCTGAGTGGTAAAACCTTCCTCATTAAATTTTTATTTTAATGCAACAGTAAAAATTTAGAGAAGATAAGTAGGCCACTTCCACCTATCTGTCAGAGAGTTACTAACGAGCCAAAAACAAACCAACAAACAACAGCGCAAGAATCCCATCACATTCTTTTAATCAAGAACCATAAGGACAAAAGAATTGAGCACTCAGCTGTCTACTGATGATTCACGAAGGACAACCACACACAGCATGTTCTTCTGTCAGATTTCGAGATTCCGAATCTATAATCCACACCTGAGTCCATAAACCCAGGAGAAAGTTTCCCAAAAGCAAACATCTAGGAGAGCCTGAGGAACCGAAATTCATCAGGACAATGCTTGAACAAAGCACTAACATTTCTGTGACACTGTGGGCATGCTTTGAATGTATCTAAATAAAACAACGGAAAAAAACAAACCTGATATTTGGGTTTTCCCTTGCCAGGCAAAATATATGTAGAGATTTCCGAAGAACAAGCTGAGGGGAGAAAAGCGGGGAGAGAGGGTGTGGGGAAATGATTATAATACTTACAGTACAAAAACAATTACTCCTACTGTTTGTTAAGAGAGAGAGAGAGGGAGAGGGAGGTTCAATTTTTAAACCATCTACCTGCCCTAGGTCATTCGAAAGTCTCGACCGCACCCTTTCTGAGAAAGTAACTGACCCAGATAGAGTTCAGACCCCATCCATGTGACAGGAACCTGATCCAGAGCCGCCTGCCTGTGCAGGACTTGACTCACTTTGAAACATGTGACTCAGTGGAACACTGGGAGTGAGTCCTTGGAAACAAGTTTATGCTACTTAAAAAGAAATCTTTCAAAGAAATCTATGAAAAATTCTAAACTAAATCATTATCTGCATCTAAACAGAAACTTTATGTTGCATACTCTCCCGGGGAAGGAATCATTCACTTACACTCCTATTTCTTACTCTACAGCTCCTGAAGATGAAACTTATTTATGCCAAGACCTGTTCAAGGGAAAATTCTAGACAGTATCCCAAGATAACGCCTTCAGATTTCCCAACAGTCATGGACAGAATAGGTTTTGCCCTTCTCTCAGGAATATGTAACATGCTGTATCAGCCAGTATTGGTGTAGTTTCATTTCTAAATGTTAACGTATCTGCTAACAGCCATCAGGCAGTGGAAATGATGTGGTTGCCAAAGTCCAGATGATGACAGTTTAAATCGGACTTGTTATTTTCCTTTTAGTCTTTGTTTGCTCATCCATAGAATGAATACTTCCTCACTTCATGAGGTTGTATGGGGATTATGTGAAATTAAGTAGTATCCAAGAGTCCCTGAAATACAGCAAACGCTAAATGGAACATAGAAGCGAATATTACTGTTTAGTGATCGTATGTTCCAATGAGGTAGCCTCATGCATTCTAAGTAACTCTAAAAAGTCTGAATCTGTATTCATATTCAGCAAAGAACTTAAGTCCCACAACATGGAAGACCTCATAAATGATGGGACCGACAAGATGAAACAGAAAGACTGGGTTCCAAAGGATTATTACCTAGATTGTAAGAGTGCCCAGAAAATTCCACTGTTTCTCCCAATAGTGTGCTCATCTGAATTTATTGTCAGGCAGTTTCCTTGTGCTGTCCAAAGCACTAAAATTCAAACCAGAAGTCAATCAAGGGAATGAAGTCACTTGGCTTTCCATACTGAGCCCATACATGATCCCCCTTGGCCTCGCACAAGAAAATAGGTAGGTAGAAATCAAAATGCTCACCGGCAGCTGCAATTCCAAGGAAAACAGACGCCGTGTAGAAAGACCAGGTGAAGGGCTGGATAAAAACGGCAATGTACATGCTAAAATATAACAGGTCAATGTATTACGGTCAAAGGATGCCTGAAATAGAATTCCAAGTATCCTTCTAGAGTCAGTTCTGAGGGCTCTCCTCAAAAATCCAACCTGTAAATGACTTCCTTGGCTTTGAAAAAAGGGACAAACATGACTTGCTTGTTTCTTGACCTACTATTTCAACTTTGTCAAAACCATACAGGTTTGCAGTAGCATCTGCCAACAGCTTAGTACATTACACAGGGCAGCTCTAGCACTCAGAAGCATTTCGTTACTTCATTTGAATCTCCATTAATCAACTTGCTAGAAGGTAAGATTATTTCATGGAGAGATCTTTCCAACCCCCATGGAAAGAGATCTTCAGATGCTATTGATTATAGTAAAACCGAAGCAGATACACATGCATCCCATCACTTAGAACGATCTGGTATCCCTGAGCAATAAGCAGAGAGCCAATCCTTCAAATGCCACCCTCTATTCTGTCCAGCCCAAGTCTACAAGTTCTGTTCAAGTTTTCTATGCTCTTCAAAGATGCTGGAAGTGTTCTAACTTAGCAAGCGGAGTAAGAGTGTGCTACTCACCTGTAAAATAAACCACTGGCAAACATAGAGAGCTGAGGGCCCACAATGGCAACCACAGATGGCGTAATCAAATTTGAAGCAGAGAACACTCCATAAATAATTGCCATGCTGCACAAATAATACACAAAAGGGAAAAGGGGATAAAACTCTTAGTTAAGCACTGTCTCAAAAGCTCACTTTTTGTGTTTTTGTTTTTTGGACATAGGGTCTTGTTATTTAGCCTAGGGTGTCCTCAAACTCACAGCAATCCTGCCTCAGTCTTGCAAGTGCTGGGGTTATAGGTGTACACCACCCTGTTCGGCTCAACAGCTCACTTGTAGAACCCAACAAGGTTCTACAAATAAAATATAAATATAGGGCTGGCGGTTTAGGCTCAGTGGTACAGCATTTGCCTGGAATGTGAGAAACCCTGGGTTCAATACCAGTATGGCCAAAAAAAAAAAAAAGAAAAAAAGAGGGGGCAGGGGGAAACGCCGGGG